CCACTAGGAGCATCGCTTTGCGATACTAATAGGTCCTTCACCAGCCTCTGGCGCTCGGGCCTATATATTTGTGCAGAGAAACACAAATCTATATCTACGAACTCTTTCTTTTACAAAATATTATAATATTATGAACAACCTGAAACTTTAAGAAAAATTTAATTTCAACACAATGTTTGAACATGAACTTGTATGTAAATAGGAATAAGTCGATTTTTCTTAGAAAATCCTGCACTCAGCATCCAACAACTTTTAAAATGTATTTGGCTGTTTAAAAATATACATTAAAAACACATAAAAGAATAGAATTTTATTTTAAATGAACACCTCAGTATTCTATGTAGATGGAATAAACTGGCTAAAGAAGCTTGAGTTTGTGCCATGCACTTTCACACTAGTTTCCTAAGCTTTGTGTACTCTAAAAACAAGCCAGTGCAAGTGCTGTTTTATATTTATATTTGATTTAAATGACAATAAATGTTTTACAAACTGAACAATTCTGTAGAAAGTCAACACTCTGCATTCCCTGTCCTTAAAATAATGTGTAAATAAAGCCAGTGTGTTAGCTTGTATCGCTGGAGCCAATGAAACATACACAAACGAAACAAAACACAACTCTTGGTATGTTTGTTGAGAATGAACAAATCTATCCTCGTGACAATCAGTCCTCCTAGGACCTGGCATCCACATATGTGGACATACATGTTCAACACATTTTGGGTTGTTCAGGCACTTAATAAATAGTTTTTGCAAATCATTATTCAATTATGACTTTATAATAGTGTCCCATCAAAATGATTAAAACATAAAGTGAATGTTTTATAGATCATATGTGGACATCATTTTTCTCAGAAACTACATCATGTAAAATATAATTCTTTATTGTTGCACTCATCAGGTCCCAATCAGCTCAATAAAAAAGAGAAATCAGTAAAGCCCTGCAAGAGCTCGGGTCCTCGGTGCTTTTAAAGGTCTTATAAATAACCTTCATTTCATTTCTTTAGCAGCAGACTGTAGCACATATTTTTCATTTTGGCAAACTGATCAGTGACATCACTTCATTTACAAAGTTCTTCTTTCTCAACTGATACAACAGTCACATGATGAAGCCTGTGTCATCTTGTGTCATCTTGCACCTCAACCAAGTGTCTCTGCAGCACACACACAGCACACGCCCACCGCTGCAGCTTTCAACTGGGACTGTGAGGGATGTCTGAAGAACCTGTGTCAACACTGCATGTCTTTTAGGATTTTTTTTTTTTTTTTTTGTGGTCAGCAAGACCTCTTCAGGGTTGATCTCTACATTATAGTGGGCTGCAGGTCTCTGAAGGTGCTGCATGAGAAAGCGGACTCACAGGGGCCTGCAGGCTTGAACTCTTCTAAGGACTTGATCATTCACAGGAAAAACTGTGGTCAGTCTCAGCAACCATTCGATCAATCAGGGCAAGTACAGCTATTTTTTTTCTCTCATTTGCAGCACAAATGTCCTTGACAGTAGCACAGAGCTCAGTGACCTTTACGTGTGTGGAGCTGTATCATGTGCTGAAAGACAGAAAGAGGAAGAGCAAGAGGAAGACCTGAACATGAGCAGCAGGGACACAGTACAGAACTGAGATGCAGCCTGACTGTCTTTGAGGTATTAATGCTAATGAGGCACTGAGGAAGTGGAGGAACATTTTCAAAGACAGCATTCACAGCCCTGAGTTAGATAAAGCTGTACAAGTTCAGATGACTTTATATAATTGCAAGAAAGGGTCAAAATTTTCAAAACCGTCCCTGGTTGTTTCTTTATACTGTTTCATTACATCCTTGAAAAGGAATGTTTTGCTTGGCCAGGAATTGAACTACGGCCACAGCACAGGCACGATACTCTTGTCTGTTCTTCATTTCCTCCTCATTTGCTGTGTGTTACACTTTCTATAGAACTGTTCCAACACTGGACAGCAAAAACTGGAGGGTTAAAATTTTAGGGTAAAATATTGTGAGTTGTTTTTAACACCAAAAGTGTTATTTTAACTATTTGAAAGTTAAATGGGGGTTTGAGTTGGGGTTATTTGACAGAGTTGATGTGGTTGAGGTTAATTCAACTTCCCTTAGTGTTAATTTGGCTCCTCCCAGTCACCACTTCACTACAGACCAGTTTGAACCAGTTTTGTACATCATTTAATCTTAAATGAACTCAAATAAAGTAAAAATAAAATAAAACAGCTCTGTGTGTTGTTTAGTGAAATCAGGTTAACTCTACAAAGTGTTAGCTGTTTACTCTCAAACGTTAATATAACTCTGGATTTCGGGGTTAAACTGTGTCCAGAGTTATCTTAGTTAACATTTCCAAAAATGTTAAATTAACCCTAGAACAGATTGGACTCATATAACCTCTGAGAAATTGTTCAAGTTGATTCTGTGAGAGTCAATTTTAACACTCTACTTTTTGCTGTGTGGACACTTGCTTTATGGCTGGTGTTGTCATGTTCTCTGATGAGATCACGTGCTTTTTATCAATTTGAAAGGCCATTGTTTACAAAAGCACCATTTTTCAAATTTCTGCCAAAGATTCTACATGAAAAAAGTTGCATCTTTAGATAGTGAATATTCTTACAAAGGAAAAGCCTCAAACTTAGAGTTGAATGATCTCTTTTTCATCCCAAAGCTACACTGCGGGTTAGGGTTAGGGTTACACACCACACTGGGGGTATTCAGACAATTTCACTTGTTGTGGGTCAGTTTGCGTTTCACCCAGATCCTTGATGGTGTCTTTTAGATTCTATTCAGGGCTGTCCTGTGCTGCAGGGCCAATCTGAGCCTCATCCACTTTTCTGTCTCTGTTCTGTTCTTCTTTCTCTTCTATGTCCCTCTCCTCCTCTGACAGCTCCACTGGATCCACCTTTCCTCCAAAACTATCACCTGCTTGCTGTCCCTGCTTTTCTATGAAAACACTAAAAAGTAAGTAGTAGTAGTAGTAGTAGTAGTAGTAGTAGTAGTAGCATAGTAGCAGCAGCAGTAGTCGTAGTAGTAATAGCAATAGTAGTAGTAGTAGTAGCAGTAGTATATATATATATATATATATATATATATATATATATATATATGTTTATAATGTTTCTGAGGATGTAACAACATAACCTACCCTGCCCCCCCCCCAACACACACACACACATATATATTGCTCAAATAAATGAAACACTATGAAAACACATCAAATCTCAAATATATACATGCACATGTGTGAGTGTGTATATACATGCACATGTGTGAGTGTGTATATACATGCACATGTGTGAGTGTGTATATACATGCACATGTGTGAGTGTGTATATACATGCACATGTGTGAGTGTGTATATACATGCACATGTGTGAGTGTGTATATACATGCACATGTGTGAGTGTGTACATGCATGTACACGTGTGAGTGTGTACATACATGTACACGTGTGAGTGTGTACATACATGCACACGTGTGAGTGTGTATATACATGCACACGTGTGAGTGTGTATATACATGCACACGTGTGAGTGTGTATATACATGCACATGTGTGAGTGTGTACATGCATGTACACGTGTGAGTGTGTATATACATGCACACGTGTGAGTGTGTACATACATGCACACGTGTGAGTGTGTATATACATGCACACGTGTGAGTGTGTATATACATGCACATGTGTGAGTGTGTACATGCATGTACGTGTGAGTGTGTACATGCATGCACATGTGTGAGTGTGTACATGCATGCACATGTGTGAATGTGTACATGCATGCACATGTGTGAGTGTGTACATGCATGCACATGTGTGTGTGTACATACATGCACATGTGAGTGTGTACATACATGCACATGTGTGAGTGTGTACATGCATGCACGTGTGTGTGTGTACATACATGTACGTGTGAGTGTGTACATGCATGCACATGTGTGAGTGTGTACATGCATGCACATGTGTGAGTGTGTACATGCATGCACATGTGTGAGTGTGTACATGCATGCACATGTGTGAGTGTGTACATACATGTACGTGTGAGTGTGTACATGCATGCACATGTGAGTGTGTACATGCATGCACATGTGTGAATGTGTACATGCATGCACATGTGTGTGTGTACATACATGCACATGTGTGTGTGTGTACATACATGCACATGTGTGAGTGTGTACATGCATGCACATGTGTGAGTGTGTACATACTTATCTGTATTGGCTCCTAGCTGTGTGACTGGGACAGGAAGGGCATCTGGTGTAAAGTGATTTGTGGACAAAGGACAGAATATCCAAACTGTGTCATTGTTCCTTGGTTTAAAGAGCAGGGCAGAGAAAGTGACTGTCTGTGTCCAGTCGTGTATTGACCTGGTGTGTCCAGACCTCTGAGCGCTGGCTGGGCTTATCTGCAGCCACTCAAAGAGGAATTCTACTGATGTGTTGGAACCCGAGCCTTCTGCTGTCACATTTATCTCCTCATGATGACAGGATCTTCACAAAACAGGAAGAAAAAGTGTTGATTCAGACCAGTGTTGTCACAATTTTCGCATTTCAAACTTATCAATACTTGAGAATAGAACAATCAACTTGTTTCAATCCGTGTCAGATTTTCTATACTTTTGACCGTACACTGTGTATATAAATAGACATGGCTAACCCGCTAGCTGCCAACTGACTTTACATTAAAATGTTCATATTAACCTGCTCTACATGATTCTGCTGTTTTTATTTCACTATTTTGTCTGTAAATAAATTCCTATTGCTATATATAGAATATAGAATATAGAACTCAGCTCCAAATTTGCCCTATAAATGCTAACTTCATGAGCTTCATTTGACTGGACCCAAACGCTGTGGGTGACGTCAAACTCCGTTATACAGTCTATGCTTTTGACAACTCGAGTTCAGATTCAAAGAAAACACATCCACAGATCATTTACTCTTTAAGGTTTATCAACAAATAATGTGTGAAAATCAAAGTGCTGTACAATTATTGTACATACAATTTCCAAAAGCGCTCCAAGTTATCGGACACTGCTGTGTGGCAGAAACAATACAACAATGAACTGCATTCAGCTGAATTTGGAATTATTCAAGCGTAAAGTAATGCATAATCTTAGCAACATTGTTAATAGCAAAAGTGACAGAACACAAACAAAACAGATGATGTCCACACTATGTTTGTCTTCATATTCAACACTTATCATTTATACATGTCTTTATTTCATCATCTTGACCATTATTCTTGCTTTTATGTGGCACCATAAAGCCCAAATACTTTTCTTGTTTTGATCGATTGAAAATGAATATTAAAGGTTTTTAGGCAAAATTGAGTTTTGAACCATGTCAAAATGTCGTTCCCTCCTCAAAAACACATCTGGAGTTTTTCATTCACACATGTTTGAGTAATTGTTTATTGTTAGTTAAATGATCCAAATGATTCTAGTGTTGGATTCTCCAAACTCACTAAACAGTTGGTACATCCTCAAGGACGTCCTAAACCCTTCAATCTACAAAGAGCTTCTTTCAGATGATAGTCGAGGACAAGTATGACAGTGATGAAAACATCCACATATACACTAACATACACACTATATGAGAGTGGAGCCTGCTGAGGCTTTGTGAAGTGAAGAAAGAAGCAGACAGAAGAAGGATGCAGAGTGGTGGACTCTTCTTTACAGGCAGGACTGACTCAGGACTTGAGCTACATGTCCTACAGCTCCATGTCCATCTGGAACTGGTCTTCATCTCCTACAAGAACACACACGAACATGAGGCAGATGTATGATTTTACTTCACTTCTCTGATTCATGGGTTAGATTTATGTAGCGCCTTTCAAGACCCCCAAGCTGCTTCATGAAGCATTTTCCATTCACTGCACACTCGCTTCTATAGCTTCTGTTGTGGCCACAGCTGCCCTGGGGCAGACTGGTGGAAACAAGGCTGGTTATATGTGCCATTAGCCCCTCTGAGCACAATCACTCACATTTCACATTCATAGGCACTAGGTAAGGTGGATTAAGTGTCTTGCCTATGGACACAACGGTGTAACATATGACATTATTATGTTATGTTTGTTTCTTCTGTTTTCCTGTGAGATCAATAAAGATCTGTCTGTCTAGAACTTGTAACAGTGTGTCTGTATCAGAGGACCTCTGCTTTACAGTGTGACACATGATAACAGTGTTAGAGATTTGCAGATGTATAAAAAAATAAAAAATAAGATAGAGTATTTGAAAGGGCCCTTAAAGGATCTGAAAAGTTTTTGAAGTCCTTCCTTGGTGTGCCAGGCTGCTCAGAGCAGTGTGCCAGTCCTTACCAGTGTGGCTGCTGGGTGGTGCCAGGCTGCTGCTGTTGTTCAGTGGTTCTTTGCTGTGGTCTCTGGTCTCACTGGACGAGGGACTGGTCACTCCAGGAATGTGAGGCAGACAACGAGGAGGAGTCTGGGCCAGCGGGGAGCTCCGGCGCTCCAGCAGGAACTTACGATCATAGATGATCCTAGTGCCTGTGTGTGGAGTCACGGTCAGTCACACGAGGAGGACAGGGGTTTAGATTTTCCATTCATGGTCATGGTTTGTCTCGTCATTTGTCTCAGCATGACGAGCTTACTTAATCAAGAGTTTGAGGACAACTGAGCTTCATTAGATTATTAATCATTCCTAAAATCAATTGTCTTATAGCCAACGATTTGTGTTTAACAAAGAATCATCCAATTGCCCACAGTCACACTCCAAGAATCATACACCTGCTGTGTGTGGTGGGCTTGTACTACAGTCCTACAGGTACTGACAGAGGAGACATACTGTGTTAACAGTGTAGAATATGTCAGAAACTCCACTGAACGTAAATCAAACCTGATCATTACGTGTAGACAGTGCAGACTCTTACTCTCACTCAAATACACAAAGTTTAGTCCTCCTGAGAGATTTCTGTAGTAGTCATAGATTGTAGTGTAGTAGACCTGGGGTCAGTTCCACTTATACTCTCTCTGTGGGGGGGGGGTCTATAGTGCTCGAGCTGTGGTGAAGTTCACCAGGTTCACGCGAGGTAACGGCACGTGACTGAATGACGAAATTCCACGAAGTCATAAAGTTTATACACACAGCTGCTTTTCTTTACTTATTGTATTTTTAACTAAGAAGCTACACAACCTTTATGCAACTCTACATCTTTGAAAGAGCACTTCTAAAACAGACTATGCTTTTCTTTGTACAACCATGTTAAAGTCTGAGCGTGAACTCGCCCGGCTGTTGGCACGACGCCCCGCACCATATGGAAGAATGGCCCCGTGTGTCAGTAAACCCACACACTGGATGTTTTCTTTCTACAGTCTAAAGTAAAACCCTGGATGAGCCGCTGGAACCCGGGGCTGTAGCCGGTCCATTTGCCTACGTACCGCCCGGGGTGGTGCTGAACACGGTGCCCCCGGGAGTGGAGCTGTAGTCGTGGGGCATGTGCGCCGGGTCGAGCACCGTCACCCTCCTGGTCCCCGGGATGGCCCTGCTGCCACTGCTCTTCTGTCCATCTGTGGACATTGTGTCGGCGCAAACCACTCAGGTCTCGTGGAAAAGAGGTTCCAATAAGTTTCTTTTTTTTTGAAAGAATAAAATGAAATATCTGTTTCTTATAAATGCACAGTGTGTGACATGCCTCTCGCGCGCAGGTGTTCAGGGACCGGGAGAAGGACGTGAGGACAGAGGACAGAGGACGTGAGGCTCGTTCCTGCTCAGTCTCACAGAGTGCACCGAGGACACACAGTGACAAGTGAGCACACACAGCGACTGAACCTGGACCTGAGTGGAGCAGGACTGCCCCCTGCTGGACACAACACCGCACTGCGTGTCCAGGTGGGTCAGGTTCACGACCTGTGGGTTATATTGGGTGCATCTCATTTCTCTTTCCTCGCTTCCTTCTCCTTGATTCCTTTGCTCAATCCTCAATTTTTCATCTGTCAGTGAAAATCGGCCCCAAGCTCAGAGGAGACAAGGAAACCAAGACACACTGCATAATCCTGAATTAGACATTAAAACTAATGTCTCCCTCCTCTCCTCCTCTGTTCCTCTCTCCTCTGTTCCTCTCTCCTCTTCTACTCCTGCTTTCTCCTCTCTTCCTCTCTCTTTTGCTCCTCTCTCCTCTCATCATCTCCTCCTCTCTTCTCTCCTCCTCTCTCCTCTGCTCCTCTGTTTCTCTCCTCCTCTGTTTTTCTCTTCCTCTCCTCCTCTGTTTCTCTCCTCCTCTGCTCCTATCCTCCTCTCCTCCTGTTTCTCTCCTCCTCTGCTCCTCTCCTCCTGTCCTCCTCTCCTCCTCTGCCTCTCTCTTCCTCTCTCCTCTCCTCCTCTGTTTTTCTCTTCCTCTCCTCCTCTGTTTCCCCCCTCCTCTGCTCCTCTCCTCCTCTGTTTCTCTCCTCCTCTCTCCTCTCCTCTGCTTCTCTCCTCCTCTCTCCTCTGTTTTTCTCTTCCTCTCCTCCTCTGTTTCTCTCCTCCTCTCCTCCTCTCCTCCTCCATTTCTCTCCTCCTCTGCTCCTCTCCTCCTCTGCTCCTCTCCTCTGCTCCTCTGTCCTCTCCCTGTCCTCCTCCTCCTCCTCCCTGTCCTCCTCTGCTCCTCTCCTCTGTCTCCCTGCTCCTCTCCTCTCTCCTGCCTCCTCCTCCTGTCCTCCTCTGCTCCTCTCCTCCTGTCCTCCTCTGCTCTCTCTCCTCTGTCTCTCTCTCCTCTGTTCCTCTCCTCCTCCTCCTCTGCTCCTCCTCTGCTCCTCTGTTTCTCTCCTCCTGTCCTCCTCTGTTCCTCTCCTCCTGTCCTCCTCTGCTCCTCTCCTCCTGTCCTCCTCTGCTCTCTCTCCTGTCCTCCTCTGCTCCTCTCCTCCTCTGTTTCTCTCCTCCTGTCCTCCTCTGCTCCTCTCCTCCTGTCCTCCTCTGCTCCTCTCCTCCTGTCCTCCTCTGCTCCTCTCCTCCTGTCCTCCTCTGTTTCTCTCCTCCTGTCCTCCTCTGCTCCTCTCCTCCTGTCCTCCTCTGCTCCTCTCTCCAGAGTTTTATTGGAACATCTTCTGACCACACAGAACTGACTAAAGAGAAGCTGCCCATCTCCACCACCGTGCCTCCACCAACCCTCACACACACCACATTCATACCAGGCAATGTGAGGGAAGTGCCTTGCCTAAAGACACAATGGCAGTTTAAAAAAGACACAAGTTTATGAAGCAAGAATATGTACCTGAATGGATAAAGTACAATCTGAATATTCTACACATGTATCGCACGAGCAGATGTGGGTTTATATTTCATACACACACACACACACACACACACACACACACACACGCGCACACACGCGCACACACACACAAACACACACACACACGCGCACACACACACACCCACACACACACACACACACACACACACACACACACACACACACACACACACACACACACACACACACACACACACACACACACACACACACACACACACACACACACACACACAAGATACACAAACACATTTCATTTCTTTATTAATTTTGTAAATGTTGAGCTGGTGTACCGAGTAAATTCATAGATGTTAACAGAGTCGACTGGATTAAAAGGCTTTGACATATATTTTAAATTCATGTAGGATTCTCCATAACAATAAAAAAGCAAACAAAAATCATTTCAAATACCCCAGAACGTCCCTTGTTTCCCAGGTTGCAGGCATTACCCGACAGTCTCTTGGTAGCTACAGCTGTATGATGCTAAAAGTACATCCATAACATAATCCCATTTGACAAGGAAGGGTGCATAGCATTCTAAGTAAATATATATATTTTCCTATATCTCATATATATATTTATAGATATATAGCCTTTTATGATAAAAAGATTTTCTGTGCATGTGCGCAGTTGCATTCCTTAGTATTGAGTAATATACTATTGCGTTAATAATGTCTTCAATCCATTCTAAAGGAATATACAAGTTCTCTAGTTTTTGCAACAGTAATATTTTTGCATGACCTCCTGTGTGACGTCTCAGTCTGTGTGGAAGCCTGCTCATCTGCTGTGGGCTCTAGAAGGGCTGTGCTGCTGAGGGACAATGTCTGCCATCTTGTAAAACTGGTCATTAAGTCCACGGCGTCTCTGTGAACAGCTGAGTGTGCCCTGGCCCTCAGCTCAGAGTGTGGCTGTACGCACAGCGCCCCCTGCAGCTCACAGCTCAGGATGCTCATGGTTCACTCATAAGTTTTTAACTATGCTGTGTTTTGTCATATAGAACATATACCTATAAACAAATCAAACTGCAGGAGGATTTCCTGTTGGGGTTTCACCTCCCACCTAAACTATGCCCAGTGTGCTAATGACCCAGCTGGGTTCTGGATCCTGTCCTGGATCCTGTCTTGGATCCCAGCTCAGAATCTCCTTCTTGGATATACTGGAGTTTTGACTCAGAATCAGCTAAGGATTGGAACAATCTATACATTTCTAGAACAAAACATTTTTAAACAAAGACATTTTTAAATACCCACAGAGTTTTTGTGAGCAGTGGCTCTTCAGTTCAGTTCTTCTTCTGTGCGTACAGCCGTTACTCTGAGCACTCCCCCTCCTGCCCTCTTCCTCACTCCTGACATCGGCTCCTTGAATAAAAATGGCCCTTTGCTTCCAAAACAAGCAAAACTCTTGAGCCCTTCATTTGCAACTGCTACTGCGTATTCTCACTGACATCTGGCTTCTGTCTTATTAAAAATATAGCAAAATATAAATGATATGATGAAACATCTGTTAGTTCAAACCCTTTTGCCCCACATGTGCCTCTGTGTTAGCATTGAGATGACTTTATACTAGATTAGATACAGAGGTGAAACATTCTCTAATCTACTTAAATACAATCAACACATAAGACTACTTCAGAACTACAGTACACCAAGACTGTACATTCATCGATTCAGGTGGCACTAAACGAACACTGCTAGGTGGTTATTGCAACATCAGTCTGACTTTACACAAAGCAACTATTTGAACAACTTTGAGAAAGGAAGTGAAACACGCTTATGATAGAACATGAGATGGCACACATTGATTTTCTGGTGGCCGTAAAGTGCAAACCAAAATTGCAAAATAAGACTTTTCAAATGAATGAAACTGACTTTTCATTCATTTATTTGTAGTGGTAGTTGTGATAACTTGTGCAACCCCGATATTTCCATCCCATAATCTTTTTGTTGGTTAAAGTGACAAAAAAAAAGTTAAGTAAGTCTTATTTTGCAACTTTCCAGCCGCCATTTAAACTTGAGGTAAATCAACTTGAGAAAAGGTGTTTTGTAGAAGACTCCAGAGAACATGAAGCTTGTCCTCTGCCCATTTCAGAACCTTTAACTGTCCCAATACTGAAGAACCCATGTGGTTTTAGAACAACCACAGACATCCACAAACACACTCTTCACTCTGAAATGGAAATCTCTAGAACTGGGCACTTGGAAGGTGAGATGGCTCATTGGAAGTTCAAAACCAAACGAGGATGAGATAAAAAAGTTGCTACGTTCGAAATGTAATCGTCGCTTTATACAAGTGCAAAATGAAGTATCTATGTACTGACATCATTGCTTAGTGGAGCCTAAATCTGCTCTCCACAGACTAGAAGCCCGCGTTTAGGAAGAACATGAAGCTAAAGTCCCCTCTCCGGTCACATGGACAATCTTGTCGGCGCTGTTATTGCTGCGTGGGTTTGGGCGCGTTTGGATTGGAGGAGGAGAGTGGCGCTCGTAATGGGCCACACTCACAGTTACAGGTCAGAGAACTCTTCACAGTGATTGGTGACTCTCAAGAAAAAGCAAGGGGACAAACATTCAACTCAACTGGACGCACCCTTCTCTCCACGACTGAGTACGGAGTTACATTTGTGCCAAAACATACATGCAGAAGAATGGATTTAACTGTACAAAAGTGCCCCAGCTATACATTTTTTAAAATAACTGCACAGTTATTCTTGCTTAAAGAGGCTGTATGTGAGATCTGTGTTCCCAGTTAAACATATAGTGTAGAGTGCAGGTACATACAGATCCTTGAACATCTGTTGAAGGTGATTGTGCTCATGTTGTCATTATTTGCACCAATATAAAACTCCAAACCAGCCCCCCAGATTATGCAAACATTGTGCATTAAATATGGAAGTGATGTCCGGCTCATGTATGCAGGGAAAACAATACAGCAATAATACAGATTCAAAATTAAAATGCCATGATTTCTAAATTTTACTTTTAAGAAAATGTAATGCTTAACTGACCGTGTTTTCATCAGCTCCAGATATTATAATGTCAATGTTAGTGTCTCTTTTTAGGAACGTTGACACTAGAGGGTACTGATTTATCCTTAAACCGCTTCACCCCTCAGTGTCATAAAGTCTGACATGTCACTGCTCGAATGTTCACAGGATTATAAACACATTCTAAACACAAGAAGTAATGCAGAGTGTAGGACCTTTGACAGGAGAAACCTACTTTAGGCACAAATGTAATCCCGTACCTGTCTCCTCTCCTTGCTACAGTCCACAGTACAGTCTCGAGGGCCTCTGGTTGTGGGCCAGACTCCAGACGTGGCTGCTACTCTTCGGCCCCGCGGTGCCCCTGCCCCTGCCCCTGCCCCTGCCCGAGGACCAGGCTGCTACATCTACTCTGAGGCGGCACCGGTGGGTACTGACAGAGACCACACACAAATGGAAGACGCGTGACGCTGACTCGCTCACGGCAGCTCATTCATCATCTTTGTTTGATGCAAGAAAATATAAGTTATTCTGTAAAAAATAAGATGTAACTTTTGACTACACGTCTTTGGCTGAGACTTCTCCTCGGTCTTCTGTCCTTCTCTGTGATCATTTAGAAGACAATATGAAACCCAAACTTTTGCATTATTTCCATGAAGCTGTGTTGTCGCTCTTTCTAGGAAACCACAGTCATTAACTTTCTATGAACATTTCTGGACTGTTTGTCTTGTGTACAATTCCAAAATAAAACCAGAGCCGCTACAATGGCAAAAGACATATTCTCATATCATATCAAACTACTTTTCAGTTGCTCATTTGGGTAAAATAAAGGGATCTTCAAGTCAACTACACTGTACAACTTAATGGAAATAAAATGTGGAAAGCTAAGAAGACCAAACAAGATGATGCATGGCGCCATCTGCAGGATATCTACAGAATCATATTGAAGCCATGATAAACTGTTGAGAAATGGGATCCCACATGGAACTGGTTGTTCAGTGGACGTGGACCAGGGGGCAGAGAAACTGTTGCCTAGAGATGACTTTATTATTATTATCATTATTTTTTTCAATTTAAATTTCATAACCCTTTTTTCAAATTTCGCCTTACTTTATTATTGGCCCATAATTGACCATATTCAGTGCTGCATGCCTGTCCCCCAAACCCCCCCTCGTATCGTAGTTAAAGACAGGCCATGCGGCGGGAGTCACTCATGCTCATACACATACAGGAAGCTCGTTTGGTTGCTCAATTTTTTTGTCTTTTTTTTTTTGGTCTGTGTTTTAGTTTTATACGAAATCATGCGTCTTGCCTAGAGTAGATGTTTCTCATGGTTTTAAAAAAAATGTCATAAAAACTACAGGTAAAACCATATCCTTCGGTGGTGGCGTGCTGAAGGTCTGGTGGTGCTCAGGTCCGTTTATCCGGCTGTCTGCTGTGAGGTGGTCACTGGTCAGAGACAGCGCCGGGTCATGTGTCCATGTACGATGCTTTAGGAGAAGGGCTGGAATCGTGTGGAGAACTCTGTGGGCAAAGAAGCCAGTGGTGAAGGTTACTGTGTAGAGAGAAGGTTGTGTTTTGTTGTGTTCTCAACATTCACAGTTCTGTTGCTTCTGTTCAGACCGGGCACTCTCATGCAGGCCTCACTGGGCACGTCCTCTGCTGTGTATGTGATAGAAGACATATTGTGCTTGTGTCAGCTATGATGTATGACCCACCTGGAGATCTTTATGTTATCATTTTCACATTTTAAATGCCAATATTAATCTAAAATGACAACAAAAAAGCCATGTTTGTCTGCAGTGGATGTGCATTTGTACCAAAATGACTATGCGACGCTGCTGAATCGTACGTGTATCACCAACTACTGGTGGTGGTGAAAACAGGAATTGTGTGTCATTATGGCATCTTGAAAATAAGCAATTAAAGTCTGTTTAAACAAGCATTTGGGTAAAGTGAAAGTATTGGTTGCGCGAGGCGTCCAATATACCAGGAAGTGTTGTTCCCAATTTACAGCTGAGGAGAAACAACTGGATACAGAAGTCCTTCAATATGTGTAAAATACTAGACTCTAATGTAGAAAAAAACAAACAAACAAACAACGGAAAATAAACGCACTATTATTTTCACTATAATAACACAGTGGGTGTTATATGCGCGTGAATGTCAATAGAAGCATAAGGCTCCTACAGGTGTGACACAACAGTGAGTGTGCTTTGTGCCCAACATGTCCTCTGTGAAGGGCTTTGACTGAGCCCAGACTCGTCGTGTCGAGTAAACCCACGTGCTGCCTGCTGCTGGGAGTGCTCGTTCTGAACAGGAGCAGTGTTTCCTCCAGAGAGAAGCAGCCTGCTGCATGCACGGCCATTAGTGAGTAAACACGCCAAATATGGAAACTCTATATTTAATTGTCCTCTGTGATGATGACAGTCGCTGTATTAGACCAGCCAGAGCATTCAAACACATCTAAATAGAGCTTGACTGGAAAGGCCACACGCACACAGGGCAGTGCTGTGCTCAAGCTCCATTCTCACTTTTTCACTCTGGCCTGGAGCCGTGGCTGCCAGGGCCTTTGAGACCATGCAACAGCCAGTCGGGGCCATTGGAAAACTCTGTTAGATGTGAAAGTGTGCGTAGAAATACACCAGCCTAATATGTGATCCCGCATGCACACATTTCCAGTCATTTGTAACCATTTGCAATAAGGCAAATGTCAAGAATGAATGAATCTCTGCTTCATTCAGTAGTAACAATATGTATTTGGAACCTTTTGGCCCATATGGATGAGTCCAGGCTGGTTCAGGGTGAGCCTGCAGTGCCAGTGTTGTGTTACATATGATTAGTACTGAATTAAAGGCACATTGTTAGATTAGATTTTTTCTATAAAGATGAAATCCATTTTGACTGAAGCAAATGCATTTAGCTCTACAGAATCAAGTTTTCACTTTGCTCAGTATTTGGTAAAACTAAATTAGCACAGACCTACTAAACTCTAGCTATTTAGTGGTACTTCTTGTCAAGAAATATTCCGGCCACCTCCTGTTAATTCACATTAAAACTAGTGCTGCCAGTTGATATAGAAAAATAAAGCAGATTGAACACTTTTTAAAATTGAGGTTAATTAATCACATGGCATTCTGATTTGAGACTAACTTTAAATATAATATACACATTCTTAAGACAATTATAGGCTTATAGATCAACTATTGCATACATTATTTACCAGCCGTAATGGCTCAAATGTAAAGTGAGTGGCTCTTGTTTTATTCAGATGCTACAGATGCTGCAAACTCTTGTTTTTCACATTTTAAAGACACAAGTTTTAAGAGTGTGTTTCCTAATGAATCTCTGTGGTCACTTTTAGTGAGTTCAAGGCCCTTCATTGCCGCTTGCAGGTGTATCTGGCTCTCTTGGAATAAGCTGCTAGGTTTGGCCTGGCCTCTGTGTGATGCAGAGGTGAGACTTTCTTTTATTATCCAGCAGGTGTTTGATATTGAGTCTTTGTTATTTGCTTCAGTCAGAGTGAATGGTTTTGCTCAGCTGTGACACTTGAGCATTTAACCCGGGCGGGCAGTGGGTTAAATGTGAGCAGATGGGTTAGAGGCAGCGCGTACCTGCAGCCTGCCTCACTGCTTAACTCTCCGCAGACTGGCACATTTCACTATCTGAGCCCCTCTCTTCACATCAGTTGTATCGGGCTACATCAGGGGAGGGGCCACACCACAGGGGCCCCACACCAGAGGGAGGTTAGTAACGAGAGGAAAGGGAGAGACAGAAAAAGAGCAGGAGAAGTTGAGGACAGCCAGTGAAAACAAAAAGAGAAAATGTCAAGCCAAAGAAAAAGTGGTGAGGACAGTTGCACAGAGCTGAGGTGGAGGTGCTGACCTGTGTGCAGCCGCTGTGGAGGAGCTAACATCTACACTCTTATATGCTCTTGATAGCTCCATATTCAACTCAGAGTCTACTGTGAGGGTAGAGCTGATGGAGATGGTAGTCCCAACAAGTGAGCCCAGGGAGGTGTAAAAAAAAAAAGCTTGTGTGGAGCCTGTGCTGTACCCAGGCTCAGGGAGCATCAGGCCAACAGACAAACAGAAGGAAGGGAAGGCCACGGGCTCATGACACTGTGGACTCCTGCAGAAGCCCATGTTTATTATGGTTAAGAATGTTCAACAAGTTGTTATTGTGGTAAGATGTGTGAAGAATCACTCAGTCGTCCAGGTAGAAGCCACATCGAGGAGAAAATTCAGTTTGTCGACTGGACAAAAGTTAGTTTAGTTGAAGACATTTCTCAGTTCATCCAAGCTGCTTCTTCAGTTCTGGTCAGACGCTGGTGGACACTTCCTTCTATTTGTCTGCAGGGAGGAGCTAACTACACTGAAACTACTCTGAAATTAACACACACTTGTTTACAGTTTCGGTTTGTTAGTTCAGCCTATTGACCACCCAAAGGACAAAACACTGAGCCACAAACAAAGTAATGTGGTCTACTCCATTCAGTGCAATGAACGCTACATTGGAGAAACTAAACATCTACTTCACAAGAGGATGAACCAACACAGATGAGAGAGCAGCAGTGGACCTCAGTCTGCTGTACATCTCCACTAATTTAAGGACAGTGAGGTACAGATTTTAGTCAGAGAAAATAATTGGTTTGAGAGGAGCATGTAAGAAGCTGTTTTTGTTAAGAAAGAGAATCCTTCTCTAAACAGAAATGGACTCAGACACCGTCTATCTCCTATTTACAACTCCATCCTCAAACCTAAATCTAAACAAACAAGAGAACAACAGGTGTATCCAGGTCAGGTCCAGAGGTGTGGAAGCTCCATTATGGCCATGAATTAGACTCCATACCCTGTACAGGTCAATAAACATAACTAACAAACAGAAACTGTAAACAAGTAAACAAGTGTGTGTGTTAGTTTCAGTGGAGTTAGCTCCTCCCTGCAGATATATGCAGTGTTGGTAAGGTTACTTTTAAAATGTATTCCCCTACAGATTACAGATTACATACCCCAAAATGTAGTTTGTAACGTAATCCATTAAATTACTTAAAATGAGTAATGTAATCTGAATACTTTGGATTTTTTGATATTGTCATGTTTTTTAAAACTACATGAATGTAACAACCACATCCTGAAAATTCTTGTTTGTTCAGTCTTTACTTAACCATGTTATAAATATTATTGATAGAGAAATGATTTCTATCTGAGATCACAATTATGTCCATCCTCCTGTTAGTGTCATATTGTATTAGTTTAGTCATGGTTTTAGTCCCGGTTTTAGTCCTGGTTTAGTCCTGGTTCAGACCTGGTTTAGTTCTGGTTTAGTCCTGGTTTAGTCTTGTTTTAGTTCTGGTTTAGCCCAAAATGTGAAAACAGGAAAATACCGCTGTGTAATCCATTTATTTCAACAAAGTAACTGCAATCTAATTACCACTCACTGAAACAGTAACTGTAACTGAATACAGTTACTCATAATTTGTACTCTGATTATGTAACTCTGGTACATGTAATCTGTTACTCCCCAACACTGGATATAAGGAAGTGTCCACCAGCGTCTGACCAGAACTGAAGAAGCAGCTTGGATGAGCTACGAAACGTCTTCAACCAAACTAACTTTTGTCCAGTCGACGAACTGAATTTTCTCCTCGACATTGTGGTAAGATGATTAAAATTGGGTAAATTCAGTAAAAAATCCCAAGAAATCCCAAGTAAAAGTGTATTTGGACATCCATCTTGTACACGGATCAGTATCGGATGTTAATGTACTGTGTTAAATGTTAAACTAATAGTTCTAGTCCCCATTTAGTCACCCAGAAGTACCAGTGGGACACCAGATGTGCTGCTGCTGTACTCCCTGCATTTGTAAATGAGGAATGCTGAATATTGCTTTATAATCAGTGGATCCATTTTCATGTCATTTCAGCTGGACCTCATTTAAGTGAAGGAACTAAGGCTACGTTCAGACTGCAGGGCTTAATGCTCAATTCCGATTTTTTTGTGAAATCCGATGTTTTTGCGAGGTCGTTCACATTTCTAGTTAAATGTGACTTGTATGTGACTCCAGTGTGAACATTAAACGTCCCAAAAGTGTCCCACATGTGACACTGGAGACACGATGACGTCAACCGCAGCGAGCGTCTCTGTGTTTACAGAAGTTGTCCAAACATGGACGCAGCATCGAGCACCTGGAGATTTTAAAGTTCCTCTCGTACCGGAGCCAGAACATGAACAACTTACTTGTTTTAAGGAGGAGATTGAGAAGGAGAAGGATGAGGTTTTTGGTCGTGGTGTTTTGTGGGACAGTGTCTGTTGAAAGGAACGTGTGGATGTGGAGACGTAGACAAGAGTGGTGAGTGGTGATGTGCTTCACTTCAATGACACGGAGTTCATTAACAATTTTCAGCTACTTCAGCGCAGAATAGTGACGTTTGTGTCTTGTTGATAACGTGTAGGTCGGATTCATGCACTTCAGACTGAAGTCGCATGTCAGAAGATCAGATATGTATCGGTTTCAGGAGCACATTTCGAAGTGTCCTGGGTCACATTTGAAAAAATCGGATCTGTGTGGTTCAGACTGTCATTAGAAGATCAGATACAGGAACATAGGGGCCAAAAAATCGGATTTGGGTCACTTCAGTCTGCAGTGTGAACGCAGCCCATAACTCCTGCTGTTTGTTTCTAGGCTGGGGATTGGCAGGGCAAGTGGAACAGTGACAGAGAACACAGGCAGATGAGGGACTAGAGTCTTTAATAATGAAAAGGTGAATAATAGACAGATGTGATAACAGAACAGTGGCGCTGCAGTGAGCCGGTCTTCTCCCAGAGCCGTGGATTAGACACAGTGGTTTGGTGGGAGCATGCAGGAGATGGCCGTCTGTCTGTCTGTGCAAACACACTCACACGTCTCACTGTGCCCCCCGCTGCGTCATCTGAGCCCCCCCCCACCCTCGTGTCAAACCCAAGGCCCATGGTCCCATCCAGCCTGTGCTAGCACCACCTACCCCACCAACAAATATACAAATATAACTGACGACAGTAGAGCTACAAGTACTGACTGTGTGAGTAGTTGAGTAGTTTGGGTTTTTATCAGATCAAGATCTTAATCTATTAATAAATTGCTGTTTTTTTAGTGTTTTAGTGATGGCATCAGTTTGACAAGCTCAGTAGAGTCTAGTCCAGCTGCAGCCACAGAAAACAGCTTCCTTCTGAACCCGTGTATCATTCCTTCATTTGTTTTTCAAAATAAAATCAAAAATAAGAAACGAAAAAACTATTTTCTTCATTATTTGTCTCTAAAACCAAAATGAAAAAAACTGATAATGATTCATTTTTTTCAGTTTTCGATTTTGTGTTTAAATGAAAAATGAAAAAAAAAAACAATAATTCAGTCCTAGTCTGGTCCCAGTCTCAGTCCTGGTCTCAATGCTGGTCTCAGTTCTGGTCGCAGTCCCAGTCCCAGTCCCCGTCCCGGACTCAGTCCTTGGTCCCGGTCTAAGTCCTGGTCTCAGTCCCGGTCTGGTCCCGAACCTGGTTCAGTCCTGGTTCAGTCCTGGTTCAGTCCTGGTTCAGTCCTGGTTTCAGTCCTGGTTCAGTCCTGGTTCAGTCCTGGTTTAGTCCTGGTTCAGTCCTGGTTCAGTCCTGGTTCAGTCCTGGTTCAGTTCGGCATCGCAGTCACAGAAGTCATGTAAACGGGAAACGGTCTTTATCCGTTTTTTCCATTTTTCATTTAAACACAAAATCGAAAACTGAAAAAAATAATCATTATCTGATTTTTCAATTTGGGTTTGAAGACAAATAATGAAAACATTTTTTGTTTTTTGTTTTTCTTATTTTTTGTTTTATAATGAAAAACGAATGAACGAATGACACACAGATTTTTCTGCCCTCACTGCTCTTGAGAAGTACAAACTCCTGACTCACTATGATTTATTTCACACAGGACATGATGAGACTGAGTGACCGCAGTGAAAATGTCTGTGTTGTGTTCACACCATGTGGTAGAAACAGGAGGTTTAGTTCAAATGTGAACCTGGAAAGCCATTTTGTTTCCCTTACGTCATTGCAATATTTAACATGAATTTATAGCTTCATTTGTGATTATCTGAATGTGGCGACCCCAGTTCACCTTCAGTTCCTCATCAGTTATAATATGAAATGGGCAGCAGAGAATGGACCACAGACCTCTGCGCTTGTCTCCCTCTATCGATTCCCCATCAAAGCCAGGATCAATATCAAACTCATGCTGTTGACATACAAAGCCATCAGTTATCTTACCCCATCTTATATTTAACATCTTCTTGTCCCCTACTCTCCCAAACAGAACACTTCATTCCCAAAGCACAGGTCCCTACAGGGGTCTGTTGTCCAAAGCTCAAACTATTATTTTATACACTACCGTTCAAAAGTTTGGGATCACTTCGAAATGTCCTTATTTTTGAAGGAAAAGCACTGTTTTTTTCAATAAAGATAACTTTAAACTAATCAGAAATACACTCTATATATTACTAATGTGGTAAATGACTATTCTAGCTGCACATGTCTGGTTTTTGGTGCAATATCCACATAGGTGTATAGAGGCTCATTTCCAGCAACTGTCACTCCAGTGTTTTAATGGTACAATGTGTTTGCTCACTGCGTCAAAAGGCCAATGGATGATTAGAAAACCCTTGTGCAATCCTCACCCTCACCCTAAACCCCACTGAGCTGTTGTGGGAGCAGCTTGAGCGTATGGTACACAAGAAGTGTCCATCCAGCCAATCCAACTTGTGGGAGGTGCTTCTAGAAGTGTGGGGTGAAATTTCTCCAGATGACCTCAACAAATGAACAACTAGAATATCAAAGGTCTGCAATGCTGTAATTACTGCAAATGGAGGATTCTTTGACGAAAGCAAAATTTGAAGGAAAAAATTATTATTTCAAATACAAATCAACATTTCTAACCTTGTCAATGTCTTGACTATATTTTCTACTCATTTTACAACTCATGGTGGTAAATAAGTGACTTTTCATGGAAAACACAAAAGTGTCTGGATGACCCCAAACTTTTGAACGGCTGTGTAATTAAGGCCCCAAAAATTCTAACAAAGCTCCTGAGCTTTGTTTTGTTTGTCCATCTACAGCAGGATAAACTGCCGTGACTATCCCATCCGCCACTCTCACCGTTTTACATTCATGTTTTCTGTAGAAATCTGACTGAAAAACCAGAGTACTATCAAAGCCCTAAATCTTCCCACTAGTGACAAGCTCTCATTCGGTCTGAACGTTGAGTTTGACACACCTGCCCCCCTCCCGCCTCCCCCCTCCCGCCGACCACACCTCTCAGAGCTCTTCTGACAGTGCGCGTGGGTGTGGAGTCCTCCGGGCGCTAGCTAAGGGAGGGGCCCGGTCAGTAGCCCACCTTGCTGCTGTCTCGGCCCAGGATGGCGTAGCTCATGTACTGCTCGGTCTCCAGGTCATTGGGGTCCTCCTCTGTCATGTCCTGAACCCCCTCCTCACCCTTGCCCCGCCGCACCACCTTCCTCACAGTCTGCACACGGCAAGCAGGCACACGGGTGGAGAGGAAAACACAAAATGAGCATCACGACCACGCAAAAGAAAGATGAAGGAGGACATGTACACTAGTGAGGCTCAGGGTGGACAAGGACGGGACACATTTATGAATCCTGGTGCAAATTCAAAACAAGAGCATGTGCCATTTGTGAGAGTGTTGCGCGCCATTTACCAAACAGCACATATTATATTTAAAGGTTGTATAGAGGATTTTTTAAGGAAAGAGAAATACAGCGACAGTCCTTTGTCAGATGTTGTGCATGTGTGACACCACCTTCCTCCTCCACAGCTCCCTCAGTAGAAACATCTCCTCCCGCCTCTTTACTCTAGAAATCACGTTTTTGTTTACATCCAGTGCACGTTCAGAATTACTGTTGAAGTGACCTGTCTAGAGGTAATTTAGCGACCGATGTGTCAGTTTTTAGACCCTTCGTCTGCTTCATTCGCGCCATCACTGGAAGAAATCTCCAAGAATCACCTCAGTTTGGCTTCGCTCCTTTTCCCCTTCTCTTCTTCTTTCAGCGACCTCAAAAACCGACTTTCTTTTGCGGCGAACTGGTCGTGGATTCTCGTCCGCCATCGGGACAAACTTTGTGCAAATTGCGAAGAAGCTACAGTTGGAGAAAACCTCTAAGAACGGCTGCATAAACCACATAATCCCCGCGCGCCGACGAGTCAGTTACACTAGAAACGTAGGGAGTTTGATTGACAACCGAACAGCCAATAGAAAAAGAGGGAGCCTTGTTTTCTATTGGCTGATGTTTATCTGGCCTCACTATGTCCACAGTTGATAGATTTTCATTCTTTATTTTTGGTCATCATAATTACAAGGCTGCTGCGTCTCTGTAATAGTGTTTCAATGACAATTTGAAACAAAAAAAAAAAAAAAAAGCCTCCTACAACCTTTAAGAAAATGACACAGCGGGTGCCTCTGTTACTATTCCTATAATGATACAAATGATTCTGATGATAGATGAAGTCTTAAATTGGTCGCCTCAATAATAAATAATAATCATGAGTGAGGTTTCTACTTATGTAAAGTCTCTTCCTAAAAAGTCTGTTCAAACCATCAAATATGTAAAAGCAAACAGGCTCATGTACAGAGCCGATAGTGAACGTGCGGTGGAGGTACAGAACCACGAGCTGTGGTGTTGCTGTGCCCTGTGTGGACTGCTCACTATCCACTCTGAGAACATTAAACGGACTGGAGCGCACGAGTGTAAATGGAGCCTGTCGTTTAATGGAACAGACAGCAGCTGTTAAACACTTCTGTGGAACACTTGCCACTGTGTCTCGGGTAAATATGTTTCTATTACTGCTGCTGTGTTCAAAACCACACGTCACGATTTTCACTTCAGAATCCTTCTATATTATTTCATATTAATAAAACCCCACAAAGGTGTACGCACTTTATTCCTGAGTCACCTGACCTCACCTTCCTTTATTTCTATTATGAGGTGTTGTTTGCAGTTTGGAGTGATATGAATGTTGATAGTGTATATAAGAATAAAATAATGCAAGCCTCTGTAACATTTGTGATGCATTGAAGCGCTGAGAGCCAGTGAGGGCCTGTCGTTGTCACCTCTGAGCCTCTAGTGTACATTGGTCTAACATGGTGTTTGGCTGTGCTTCAGTGGAGTGACATGTTTGAGACCACAGAACATGTGCTTATTGGACTGACCTTTTTCGTGACGATGTTTCCGTGTTCGTCTGTGAAGTGTTCTTCGCTCACTTGCTCCCCGGGGAGATTGTCCGCCTCGTCACCCTGGCAACACATGTATGTACACATCAGCTCAGGGAGAGTGCCCTGCTTTCCTCATCTGCACCCCTCCGCCTGTAGCTTACACTGCCCCAGTGTTTTTACACTGCCCCAGTGTTTTTACACTGCCCCAGTGTTTTTACATTGTCCCAGTGTTTTTACACTGCCCCAGTGTTTTTACACTGCCCCAGTGTTTTTACACTGCCCCAGTGTTTTTACATTGTCCCAGTGTTTTTACACTGCCCCAGTGTTTTTACACTGCCCCAGTGTTTTTACACTATTCCAGTGTTTTTACACTGCCCCAGTGTTTTTACACTATTCCAGTGTTTTTACACTGCCCCAGTGTTTTTACACTGCCCCAGTGTTTTTACACTGTCCCAGTGTTTTTACACTGCCCCAGTGTTTTTACACTGCCCCAGTGTTTTTACACTGCCCCAGTGTTTTTACACTGTCCCAGTGTTTTTACACTGCCCCAGTGTTTTTACAGTATCTCAGTGTTTTTACAGTTGTTCAGTGCTAATTGAAAAGACAGCAGTACAACAGATGGTTGGGGTTGTTTTGGGAAGCCCCCTAAGGCCAACTGGTGAAATTTTCAGAGTTCATTAATGTTTCTTACCAACATTTCATTTTCTTTTACTGCTCTAGCCCTGCTAACCAGCTAATAATAACAAGGTCTAAATGAAGGAGAAGAAGTTTTTTAGTAGTAGTTTCTTTATCTGCAATAAAAACACTAGGAAGTGGAATATAGACACGGGAGAGCAGCTTTGTACATGATGGAAATATAATATGTACATTTCAGTTAGACTAGCACTGTGTGGATTTGGTCATTTACGCTTCAACCATTTCTGATCTCTGAATCTGCATTTGGTTTATTTGTGACTCTATTCACAAACATATGATCGATTCATAGCACGATTCAGCAAAAGGAAATCTCAGACGTCAGGGCCATGTCCTGTCCACAAACAGCCTACAAAACCTGGTCCTGGAGCTGCCTGAGCAGCTGAGCAGGCCTGCCCAGTCAGAAGTACCTTGAGGATGACGCGGCGGCGCACCACTCTGGTTGTGACGTTCTCTTCCTCGTCGGCCACCCCCTCCCCCTCCCCCAGCTCGTGGTCCAGAGCGTGGTGTATGTACGTGAGCACGGAGCGCACCGAGCCGCTGGCTATGTGCAGCACGTTCTGACAGCTGATGACCAGGAAGGCCAGCAGCACGAAGCTGAAGAGCAGCTCTGTAACCAGGGCCCACATGTCTCCTCTGTCCCAGCTCAATCCAACAGTAAAGGCAGCTTCTCCTGTGATCTCCCCTCAGTTCATGTTGTCCTTCAGGAGCAGCAGGATTCCTCGCTCCTTGTCTCTTCAGTGTCCTCTCAGCAGTAGCCTCTCACTGACGTCCAGCGCTGTTCACACCCCCTACTCCCACCGCTCAGACTGACCATGTGACCCCTGCTCTTTAAATACCACAGGCTTCACTGTGGCTCAGATAA